GGGGGGCGGGGCTGGTCCCTGCGCCCGGGCCCAGCCGGCGGGTTTTGCTCTGGCTTCTGCCCGGTGGCGGTGAACCGACGGGCCTCAGCCTTGCGCGGCTGCAAAGGGAGGCTCTGGAAACTGCGGGGGGGTGTGAGAAAGGGGAGAGATGGGCTCCAAATAGGCCTCGGAAAGGACAAACACTTCCGTCGCTTATGTTTGCTAAAATAACTATACTTATGTTTGCTAAAATATATGCACGCTTGTATTACGGTGCGTATATATTTTTCTTTTGCAATTAAACAAACCTCATTAAAAACACAGGCTTTTCAGTCTGAAATGAACTCATAACAAGGATGAAAACGTTTAAGCTCAAATTCAGCTATAAAACCAAAGTACCGGGGAGTATCAAGTAACTTCTGTTGCTCACCTCTCGTTCCCAGCACTCAACGCGCCCACCGTGGGTGGCAGGTGCCCCCAGGGCCGGGGGAGCCGTGCTGGGTTGGGAGCAGAGCTCTCTGCCAGTTCAGCCCCAGCTGGGAGCCGGCGGGTAGGAATGGAGCAGGGGGTGCTGCTCAGGGCACAGCAGCAGGGCAGGGAATGGCCCTGCCATGGATCCAAGCAGAGGAGCAGTGCTTCCAGCTAGCTCATCTTGTAGAAGTTTACTATCCCTACCTAAAGCTGCAGTGATGTCTCGCCCACCAAAGAAGGTATAGCTATTTATTTCCGATTCACCACGAATTAAAGATTGGTGTAGTCAATTTTCTGTTAACTAGGGAACAAGCAACAGTTTTCCTCTGTTCTAATGCTTTCCAACTAGAAGACATAATACATAATAAAAATTTCTGCTTAGCAAAATTAGTCTAAGGTTGCAAGATAAATCAAATTGTATGCGTGTGGTACAAAGTAGTCAAATAAGTAAATTTTTGTGATGTTAAAGGCTTTAGATAGCATAGATGCATCCAAAAAAAGAAACATAAAAGCAACAGACAAATTGCCCTTTGCTTGACACTGGAAACTTGCAAAGAGCATGAATTAATGCAATACATAGGCCACTGGCAATTCATTCCAATTACCTTACTGAGGTTGCTAGATCATTGCAGTGTACCTCACATGGACTGGGAGAGACCAGGTCTCAGGCTAGGGAAACTAGTAAGGTTTGTTGGTTTTTTTTTTTCAATTTAGAGCTAACTGTAAAGATGTCATGTCTTTCGTCCATTTTATAAATGTGAATAAATTGTCAGAGATTGCCATTATAGCTTCCTAGAAAGCAGGGAGAGCTGTCTGATGAGGATGACAAAACAGCAGCTGAGGCTGAAAGCATGCTGCTTCATCTACCAGACTCCTTAGCCATTTTCTGTAGTTTTTCAAGAAATTGAATTAAAATGCTGCAAACAGCTGTCACAAGTGGACATAGTTAGATTAAATGTCATACAGCCCCAGTGGAACCGGGATAGAGGAAGCAGTACCTTTACCTGCCTTCACCTTTAAAAGACAGACCGAAATAAGTGATGTGTATTGGTCAGTATGCTGTCTCAGCCTTAACACATAGCTGATAAAAACCTGGAAAGGTGAGCGCCTGAATGTTTGACTGTACAGGACCTCTGCCTTGTAAAACAAGTCAATAGAATAAGATTAATTTAAAAAAAAAAAAAAAGAGTAAATCAGGGCAGGGGGAGGCAGAAGCACATGGCATTTGTGTGTTGCTGGAATTACATTATCAGCCAGTTCTCTTATTTCCCCAGTTGTGATTAATTTACAACAGCACTATACAATGTACCATAATAAACCGACAATGCACCTAATTCATCTAAGCAAATATGTGGGTCGAGAGAGGATTTTGTCCCCCCCCTCTGGTTTGATTCGCAGCTTCACAAAATCTCAGGTCTTTAACATCCTGAGGAATTACTCTTTCAGCAGAAGTGAAATGAATTATGCGTCAATGAACAATTGGGTTATCAAGGTTGTTCACTTAATGTTCCAGCTGTTCTGTAGCACCATCTTAACATTTATTGGAGATTTCTTTTGAATTTAGTCTTATTCCATGGTACTTACAAATAAATGCATTGCGTTTCTTACAGCTGCTGTGCCAGTTAATAGCAAATACAAGTACATAATGAATTTCTTGCCTTTTACTGCTGGAACTAGAAATGACAGAGGGTGGAGGCTTCATTCAAAGGAGATCCATTAATGTAATAATAGTGAAGCCAGAGATTAAAGCTGATAGGATTTGTAGGGAGTTTTGTACAGCACTTAACTACATTAACACTGTTATTTGCTCCTTGCCCTCATAAGTGCTAAAACTTAGATACACTTGGAGTTGACAGGAAACCAAGCAAATACAGTACTCATCACTGCTTCTTTCCCCTTTTCCAGCTGTCCTGCAGGCAGATGGACATCAGCTTATTCTGGAAGACATACCAGACTGGAACGCTGTAGAGCTGGTGGGCAATGGCAAGACTGTATCTCACTGCAACATCAATGACCTGGATATTGGTAAGTACAAAGTTTAATTCATTGCAGTCTCTCACTGAAAACACTTACATTTTGAAATGAGCGCTTCCTAGGGCATAAACAGTCCGGGTTCTGTCAACATTAACACTTTTAAGCTCTACACTCTGATATATTTGAGGCAGTTTGAAGGGCACAGTCAGGAAGAGAGTTAAGGCCACGCTCGGGAGAGTTCGGATCCTTCCTGCATGCAACAGCACACAATCACAAGAAAACCTGCTAGGTGTCGATCCACAGAGATATTAGGACATCCTTTTGCTTTCAAAATAGAAAATATTTTTCTTTCCTTGGGCCTTAGTTTCTTTGGGGTTTTTGTCTTCGCCTCCTCCCCTCTCCCAGCCAAACACAGATGCCTCACAGGGTTATTTTTTTATCATTTTTTGCTGCAGGTGAGACAAGAAGTTCAGGGCTCAAGTTTTCTCATCTCCCGTGCACGTGGCTTCCAGAGAAAGGCTGAAAGCCACTGCTTCTCACCTCTCCACTTTTCAACAGCCTCTCTAGGGCTGGGGATGGGAGTTGTGGAGCAAAAGCAGAAAACTGACCAAGGATAATGGCATTTCCAGCACCACAGCTTGGTTGGTTTACTGTTCCTGCAAGGAAGGCAGACAAGCCAGGAACTGGGAGGTTCCGGTTGGAAATTTCTTCCGACAAAATAAGTTTGGGGTTTTTTTGTCCAATCCTAGACCTATGCTGGACAGTGAAGCAGTGGCTAATAGGCTGTGTACTGTCTGCTGAACCACCTGCACTGCTGCATTCACAGTTTGCTCTGTTTCAAATCCAGATCAAAGCTGAATTAATGTCAGATTACACAGCTCATCAGGGTAGAGCCAAGATGAGTCCAAGTAGTGTGAGGGAGAATGCAAAGGAATATAGATGCTAGGATAAGAAGCAGAAATGTAAAATAAAAAAAAAAAATCCTTGCATATACTTTGTAAGTTGTGTTTTTCTCCTTTAGGAGGTTATGGCAAGTTGCATCCACTTTGTGGAGAAGCCAGAAAAGCAGTGTTAAATGCTTACTGATTTACAGGGACACATTCCCTTTTACCTTGATTTTCTGTCAGACAATTTACTTGCACTGCAAAGGTATTAGAAATATCAGGATACAGTTGGTTCTTTACACTTCTATGCCTCTTATTGAAGCTCTAGATAATCTTGTTACACCCATGTGTCAACCAAATAAGAATATACCACCTTTTCCAGAACCAGACATGTGTTACCACCCTGAATATTACAAATTCATGTAGAACTGTGACTTGCATGTAGTTCTAATAATTTGTTTTTAATTAAAAGAAGAATGAAACTCGTGGGTATCTTGCATTCTTTCAACTTTTAGAAAGTTTCCTTTGTCAAAGATAATAATTTCAAAGTCAGCAATAGCTGATGATCAAGCCATACATATTCATACAGATGTGCCAGTTCTGCTTTTCTCTTGGCCACAATGTCCCAGAGAACATTCGTGCATCGTTAAACACAGTCCAAAGGTACAGAGAGAAGATGGCATAGCCATAAGGATAGGATTAAAGCTGACTGAGTGTTACCACAACTGATATTCCAGGTATCTCAAAAGTAATGCTGTCTTTTCCTCTCTATTTCTTTCCCCCAATAACTAGAGTATTAAACTTACAGTCTTCTATTTTGCTCTTGATCTGTCTACATCTACTCCCAACCCCAACTTTGTTTTAAAAACAGTTCTGACTCAGGTAAATTCAGTGGTTTTCAAATAAGCCTGTGCCAGAATGCTGGTACTCAGAGCAATTTTGGCCCATAATTAGTTATGAAAGAAAGAAGGGATTAGTCTTTGCATCCTAATGGAGTGGTGTGACCAAAGAAACAGCATTAGTTGAGGCTAGAAGCGCTAGGCAGCAAAGCTGCAGTTTCTAGTGCAGCTGCAGGAGAGACAGGCTGCCCCGCATAAAACCAAAGACAAATCCTGTCAGTGGGTATCTCCTATCAGCTGTAACCTGCAGGGAAATTGCTGCAGTTACAAATAACCAAACCACATTCACAGTGATACTGATCCAACACGAAAGCGTTATCAAAATAACACTATTACTATGCCCAAATACAGTCCCCTTACCAATGACCTATAGATGACAGAGGCATTAAAACAATATTCTTTAGTGAGAAAAAAAATACTCAAAGTTGAGTGAAGTAGAAACTGTATTGTCCCTTTAGAAGATTGAAACATTTTTGCTTTCTACAGCTCTGATATAACAAGACTAGAAAGTGAAAACATTCAGACTGAGCCACGTTGAGAAGATAACAACAGTACTTTCCGCAGCAGATGTTCACACAGACAGCAGAGCGGGGTTTCAGCATCTGCCCTGCTCTCGTTCTGCCCTGGACAGCAGCGAGTCAGTTCACACCTTGCTGTGACCCTGACCTGTCACTACCGAGCAGGCTGTCCTGCACCACAACCAAGCTCCGGCCACCAGCTCTAGTGCACAGGAAGGGGATTTAAAAAACCCACCCTACTGCATTTGTCAGTGGGACACCAACAAATGGCTGCTCTGGCAGTAAATTGTTCATTGGCCTCTTAGGTAAATGCAAATTAATTAGGCTAAGTTAGTTTAAATAATGTTAATTCTGAGCAGAATTTACTCCCCAAAATCAAAGACTAAACTCCCCAGACCTCCTGAGCCTGGAATGCCGTGAACGTCAATGGAAATGCTCCAGGCAGATGAACTCACCAGTGTGACTAGTTTGTTTTTTTTAATAAGTTTCAATTTTACTGTGTTCAGTGCCCTGTGTAACATCACCCTAAGGACATTTCTGACATACCTCCAAGTTAGAATGACAGCAGTTGTGTAGGAAGATATTAAGCCTTAATAGGTCCACTTGTTTAGCTGAAATAAATGCAAACAAGCTCTGAGGAACACAAGGCTTCAAGTCTGAAAGAGAAGCAGCAGACTTCAAGACAAGTACGGGTTGAGTACGTAGCTTTGGAGTAATATTATGACCAAATTGTAAAAGACCAGAAAGAGATGAGAAAATATTTTTAATATGACAGTGAGGTATCTTCCAGCGAGATAAAAAATTAGCTCCACCAGACATTTTGAACCCAGCTGGCTAGAATGCATAAAGAGATCTCAGGCCCCGTTATTGTGCTTTTGCTACAAAAGGGAAAAATAAACACAAATTTGAAGTAGCCCTTTCAGTTTGGTACCCGTCCCCCAAACACTACCTGTGATCAGTTGCCATGGCACTAGCAGGCAGCTGGATGTTTAAAGGCACTGTAGTAGCCACTTGGACAAAGGCATTTAATTTTTTTTATATGTGAAATAACCATTTTTTTCCTCCAAGTCTCCCTCATTTTTAAGGAGATTATCTGCCCAACAGATAATCATGGCCATTTGAAAACTGAACCTAGCCTGCAAGTCTTCTCTGCAGTGACTTTCATCCAAACTATGGTGATAAAGTCAAATCAGGAGGAAGAAAAGAGCAACAGCAAATTATTCCAGTATTAACACCAACTAAATTGCTGTGCAGCTTTTACGGTTTGACTAATTGTCTCATTAAGACACATTTCTGATCACTGAAATGGATCTCAAGTATTTTTAATCACTGAAAAAAATTGTTTCACTAAGAGCCTCTCTCCCTCCTATCCCTGGCACTATTTGCAATGGAAAACACACAAAGGCTCCCATTGATTGGAGCCCCACTGCTGCACAGTTGGCAGTCAAATGCTACTAATGGCACAGTAACACAATATGACTAAAATAGTTTGCCTTTTAGAGTAACAATCTCTTATAACATGATTAAGCTCCATCATGTGGGTTTCCTTATGTTTTGCAAATGGCTCAAAAAAATCTGACAATTTTTCCACTAATTTCTTCAAAAGGGGAGGGAAAATCAAAAACTCATTAGCTATCAAGGAACAAATTAACAACACTTGACACATTAAAAAAAAGATGAAAACAACTGCACGAAACACAGGCTGCACAGCAGCATAGTTGTGTGGCACCGAGTCCACTCCCCCTTGCAGAACGCACCTCCAAAGACTGAGTTCGTCACATTTAATTGCAGACACTTTATTGAAGCACTTTATTTAGGAGCTGGCTTGCCCTAGGCTACCTCTGTAACTGATGGAGAGAGGCATCTCCACAGGGCAATTCAGATCTCTACTGAGCATAGACTATAGGATCTCTGGGCTCCTAATTTAAGTACTTTTTTGGTGTTTGGTTTCAAGCAGTATTAAAAGAGCTGAAGCTTCTTCCTCATATGAGGAGCACATTTCACAAGGAGCAAGCTGGCATTATCCAACACACTACTCACATGCTTTTTACACTCTCAGCAAACAGGAAGATTTTGCTCTTGGCCGTCACGCCCAGTGGTTGCACAAGCTGTACATCGCAACAAGACATTTCCCCTTACAAGAGTTGTGCTTATCCCATACGTTATCATATTAAAGACAGCAGCCACTTAATTTTCAAGTAGCTTATTCTGAGAAGCCTAATGCAAAAGTGGCACAGCTATTGCTAGGAGAGATGTACACTTTCATGGTGGCCAGCCTGATCAAAAAATACCCCACAAAGGCGTAGGAGCTCTTTTGTGGAGATGGGAGTGATGCATGGGAAGGAAATCACTCCATGCAAACACTCAAGAAGAGTTGAAAAGATCTGATTTATTGTCAGACATGCTTTGCTTGTTTTAAAGTGACCATATGATGGTAATCATCAACTTCCCGTGGGTGTGCTTCTGATCGTTTACTTGGAAAAATAAAGCAACATACAGCTGATATCAACACAGTTGTCAGAAAAGAGTTTAAACCCCAGAGGAAAAAGGTTGAATTATTTTAAAAGCTGTGTTTTTTTTTAAATAAAAAATACCAATGATACTATATGTAGTTAAATTTCTTTGCTGTTCATTTTGCATATTGGCCATCCAGTAGCATGACATTAAACATGGCAGCACTAAGAATTTTCATGTATCATTTTTACATATTAAGAGAAAGTCTGTGAAGAATTCGCTTTGCAGTCTGTAGGAAAACACTTCTCTTTCTCCTTCACCTGAAATGGAGATAACAGCTTATGACTCTACAGAGTCATAGAGATCCTGTGTTCCCTAAAATATTTTCCAATTCTCCAGTAAAACATGCTGTACAACTACCTGTGTGGCACTTCACAGTTACCGCAGGGAAATGCTTTATTCCAGTAAATTCTTTCCTTAATTTTTTTTTTTTTTCGGCTTAAGAGGGAGGGAGCAAAGTGATACTTCTGATTTCAACAGTTGCTTTAAACTGTCCAGATTTCTTTTGATTATTTTAAGCTATTCTTGTTTAAAATATTGAGAACGTTCCCTATCAATGCCCACCTGTGTAATGAGTGGAAAACAGCCCAAGAGAATAGATGTGGGATTCTTCTGCTCTGTCAAGGCACATATTTACAAGACTCATAACTCAGTATAGGCGCATTCAAGTGAGAGACAAGATGCATTACTAATTTAAGATGAATTTGAAATGTGGCCATTTACTTGCTACAACTTTCAGTTTTGATCAATTTTGTAAGGCAGATTGAAAAAACAGACAGGGTTGTTCTGCACCCACACACAGGCACTATTCAGACACATAAGTATTTGCTCACGTGCACGCATTTACATGCGCCCAGGAAGGCATGCACCAAGGTCATATGAAGTATAGCCAGACACATTACAAATTTGTGGTCTTTGTCATAGGCTTTGGTATTAATTCTGAAGAACAGAATATGCTACAGAAATCCCTCTTTACTTCCCTTTGGGCTTTGTTACAGAGACAGGTACCACAAAGTTCAAAGTACAATATTGTGCTCACTATGAAAAATACAGTTTTACCGATAAGTCTAACGAGGGCCCTGAGGGCTGTGATAAAGGCCTAAGGGAAAAAAGGAAGAAAAAAAAACCCCAAACACACACTTCATGTAGCACGTCCCTAATTTTTTAATGCACGTAAATATCAGAACAGTGATGCTGAAAAAATACATTTTTTTTTTTGCTAACAGTCCCGGCAGAAGCAGCCATATACCGATGTGCATACTCAGAAACAT